CGTTTACCTAAGTCTGTTATTACTTTATCAGTTGATTGCAACTGATTCTTCAACTCTTTTAGTTCGGTGAGAACGGTGGATTGACCAGCGGATAATTTTTTTAATTCGGTGGCAACTTCTTGAATGGTACTAGGTCCGGGGTTTGTTTCAACGTCACCGGCTTGCAGCAACAGGGAATAAATGACACTCGCGCATTCAGCGGCAATGGCAATGCAACACTTTGGGCTCGGAGACTGTACCAAAAAGTAATTACTAGATTTTTTAGCGAATAGACTGTGTGAATTACTGACCTGCATGGCAAAGGCAAACGGTTTAGTGAACTGCGCTGTTGCACAGTCACCGAGCCCACAGAGCGCAGGCGGACGGTGTTGGTCTTTTATAGGTGAGGCAGTGGCTGATGTCGGTGGCGATGCTGTTTTCCGCGATGAAACCAGGTATTTGGGAGGACAGGAAAGGTTGAGGGGTGGCGCTTCCATGCACGCTGAAGCGTGAACGAAGTGGCGTGTCCAGTTGCCTGCGCCGGTCCCGCAACTGTGAGTCGCTGGGATCAGCGAGGCTGCAGATTGGGGCAGCACAGGTCCAGAAAGCATGACTGCGGCGATGAGGGCGTACGTCTGCATGGCAAAGGCAAACGGATTAGTGAACTGCGCTGTTGCACAGTCACCGAGCCCACCGAGCCCACCGTTTTTCGTGCAGCTACGGACTGGAACGGCCTTTCTAACGAAATCACCGCCATAACCTGTCCTACCACCTTTTTGAACACCGTAACAAATGACCTTGCATTGTAAAAAAAAAAAAAATATGGCTTTCACGTTTTCATATATGTACCCACCCCTTATGTAATACCCCTTCAATGGGGTCTTTAAGGTAATAAAATGAAATGAAAATAAAATGCCACGTGGCAGCGAGCGAAGGCGGGATGGGGGGGGGGGTAGCACGTGGGACTGCAGCAGATGAACGTAGGCTGTGCGTTTAATATGTGGAAGAAAAAAAATCAAAATTTTGGCGACTGAAATGGGGCTGACTTAGTGAGTGCGTTCATGACTAGAGTAAACACGGTTATTATTTTTTCAAATCTCTTTTGAAAGCCACGAAAGATCTGTATGTGGTGCAGCCTAACAGAAAGTCCGTGAAGGCAAATTATGAATTCGTCGTTGTACGAAGGCCTAATTTTTTCATGCGCACCATAAATAGTGTTCAAAATTTGATTGCATATGTTGTTTTCATCCTCGCTGTATTCCGTGCTGTTGATGATGTAAAAAAAGAGTAGCACGCTGAGAAGTGGTGCTGCTTTTGGGCAACAGTTGAAAATGGCACAATGCATGAATGCGGAATACTGCCGTTTACACTCAAATCACTCTTGTGGTCACCTCCCACTGTTTGTAGCATGTGTTGCGTGTACACAGCTGTATATTTCCTAGCTAGAAAAATTTTATTTTAGGTGTTTCACGCCATTTTTCATGTAACTATTCCACGATTACACACACTGATCAGCAAGCTTTCAATTGCGCTGAAGAACACAGGTGTCATAAAAATTCATAGTCGATTCTTTCAAGAAACCGCATGTAAAGGCTGAAGCTTCATGTGTACATACACACACACACAGCATATTGTTTTTCGTACTTTATGAAAGCTGCCCAGGTCTCATGTGCCTCCAAGCGTAACCTGTCTTATTCATTCTCCATCACCGCAAAAGTTTTGTGAGTTTCAAATAAAAGTACTTTGTGCATGGCCACGTTTGGGTAATTTTTTGTGTAGGTGTTATTTGAGCAGCCTACTGTGTTTACTTTTTAAGCCTGTATGAATATGTTGCATTATAAGGATGCAGAATGTTTGTGGCTGTACAATATAGATGAAGTGTAAAAATTAAGTGTGTCAATTGTAGTGTTCTTGCAACCAATCTTACCCCCGTATTCTAGAACGTCCCTCCACTCAACGCTTCACCTTCACTTGAGATGGCCGATGGGAGCGCCGTCTCTTGGCAGAGAAAGTCGCTGCATGCCAGCAATAAGCTGCTGTGATTCTCGAGTAGCGCAGTGTCGCTTTCAGATGAGCAGTGGCACAGTGCTCAACTCTGTCAAGTGAAGGGTGAAAGTCGAGTCGAGGAGCGTTTATGAATATGGGGGTTAGTTTTGTTGTCTTGTTAACCTGTCATTAACACTGGATTGATGCTACTTTGCTCTAGCTGTACAGTGCTCTCCAAGGCACAAGGAGGCACCGCAGGGGGAAGGCTCGGAGCAAACCATGCTTGAGTTTCCTTTCATTGTTACACTATGCACGTATTAAGGGGGGAGGCTACCATCGGATACCAACTTTTTTGTTTATTGAGATATCTTAATGAAATTTTCAGGATAGACTTATAGCAAAAGCATTAGAAGAACTACAGAATTTCATCAAGTTATGTTCACTGGTTTTCAAGTTACAGCAGAATATCAGGGTAGTGCACATGGTTCTCTTATTCCAGGCCTGGAGAACTTTCAAAAGGTGCTGGAACTGTGAAATTAACTATGATGATTCCCAGATTGATACTCCAGGGGGTAACAGAGCCCTTTTTTTGAATTTCCTTGCTGAAAAGTTTTAGCAGACCATCAAAGTTTGGGTTCGTGATTAGGATATTATCAATCAAATTTTGATTAAATATAATAAATAACACACACAATATATTGAAAAATGGGCTTGTCTTCCCCTCAGAAATTTATTCATGTACATAATAAAAAAAGACTTATGGAAATCCAATGAGTGGTTCCAGAGATATAGCTGGAATAAGCAGCCTCACTAGCCAAAAAAGTCATTTTGAGAAAACGACGTTTGAAAGTTTTGAGCACATAGGCAGTTCTAAAATGAACCTGCAGCGTAACTGGAGGTGTTCTTTGGCACTCTCTTTCTTTGCCGCCTTGCCATCTTCTCTAGGGATCGCTTCTTAGCCTTTTTCAAGCGCAGAGAATCTTTCTCGGCTGCCCGTTGAATGGCCAGGTGGCCAGGTGTTAGCCCCACTGATGAAGCTAGCTCTTGGGTGGCCCTGTAGCAGCCAGCATTGTATCTTAGCACTGCATCATGCAGTGCTGTCTCCACAGCAATCAGTGACGCATGCTGCTCTTTGGGCATGAGGGACTACAGCACAGAGTGAAAGGACTCTGATGCATTCTGCGTCTTTGCTCCCAGGCAGCGTTGCAGAAGAGAAGCCTGTGAGAGCCTCTCATAAATGGGTAGAAGTGCATCTGCAACATAGCGTGGCAGCTTGTACGAATGCTTCGGAGGTGGAACACCGGTAATCTTGCTGGCATTGTGACGACACCAGGAGTCTGCACCCTCTGGGCACAAGTCGTGGTGCGGCTCCTCATCCGTCGACGTCACATGGTGGTACGATGCCATCACTGCCCGCCGCATTGCAGCCATATCATCGGAATTGTTCCGTAGGGCCCAGCCATAATAATCTGTCAACTTGTCGATGAGGGCCTTTGTCAGCCTGTCCTTCCCTCCCAAAGCCTTGTCACTTTTCTGCACAAGGTTGCGAAGTGCAGTCCCCATCCTCTTCTGAACGTGGTTCAGGCATTCCTCTTTTGAAATGGGAACCAGTCCATAAACATTTTCTTGTACAAGGGCAGAGAGGGTGGCACTATCTCCATCAGACACGAGCGTTGTGTAACGGAGGTTGTGCTTCGACAGTGAGCGTGAAAAGAGGATGATAGCTGCCTCAACCTCCATTCTCCCTGATTTAGAGTCGGTGTTTTTCTGGCACACGTTTCTCCAGCCAGCATGCATAGTCTGCGTCTCCAGGCTTTGGCCCTACTTGGCAACGAAGGCACTGATTAGACAGAACAACGGCGTCCAAGATAAGGCCCGTATGGTATTCGATAATTGCCCCGACTCCAATATGGGATGTGTGCCCACGCTTGTGCCATGTTCCATCATAACAAACTGTTATATCCCTGGTGAAATATTGATCCATTTCTTTGCAAGTGGCTTTTACAGCAGAAGCAGATTCTGCATAGAAATTTTCTATGCATATCTCGCATATCATGTGTACTTTTTTTTGTTGATCCGGTTATGTGCGAAGCTAGTAGGAATCGCTGGCCTAAAGCCCAACTGGGAATATATGTTGCACGCGCTGTCACAGCTGTCTCAAAGTGGATTGCCATTGTTTGCTAAGCCGGTTCAAATGCCCCCATTTTCTCGAAGTTCTTCCGAACATTGCTCACAAAAACCAGTTCTCACGATAGGGTTATAACAGAGAACATAAGTACTCTCCAATTTGTAGGGAACCCAACGCAAAGTAAGATGCAGACAAGAAAGCGCGATGCCAACACAGTGCTGTGTGTGTCGCCCTTCATGTGTGTGTGTGTCCCCATTCCTTTTTTCAGTCTTCTATTGCGTTGTGTTCCCTCCGATATCTAACCAACACACCCAAGCTTCTATGCCAAGTCTTATTCAACGCACTCTTCTGCTGGCTCCCATACTGAATATTGCATGTCGAAGAACTCCACGCGGATGTGCTTGGTGGTGGCACGGTTTCAGTTTTTTTCGGTAAGCTTTATAACAGCAATCTGCCACATATATAATTATTGTAGCCTATCACAAAGGAACGGTAAAAACGCAATGGACAAACTGCGAAACCGAAAAAAAAAGAAAATGAGTGCGAAAACCTGCCTCATCTTGTTGATGTGACGGGTCCTTGCACGTGTACATCTGTGCTGTGTCTCGGGAATACATTCTTGCCGTCGAAGAGGTAGGAAGAATGGAAGAAGGGACCTTGCACTCAGCCGATTTTGCGTAAGACTGCACTCGCCTGCTTGACAAGAGATGTGCCTCACTAGAGCATCATGAAGTCAAATGTGCCTGTGTGTGCGCTGGCAAGGTGGCTCGGGCTGGTTGGGGAGGGCAAAGTATGCGAGCAAAAAGTTTCTTGTAGTAAAGCAGGCTGGCTAGTTATACTGGTGAGCAAATTATGTGAGGATGCAAATTGTGCGATCAAATATGGTATGTACTCTTGTATGTTTCAGCTCTGTTGCTACGGATCCTGCGGGTCCAACTTGGCATCCGGCAGCAACAAAAAGAGGTTCTGCAGGAGGTGTGACAGCTGAAGCACGAGGTACGACTCTTGTCCGTGCCTCAGCACGTCCAGCCAGCACAGCCCCCTGCTGACCTTCCCCGGCTGCCTGCTGGTACAATTGGAGAAGTGGAGGCAGCAGAGGCAGCTGTGCAGAGTGAAGCTGTGGCTGCGGCTTTGGTGTGTATTCCTCGATTTTTAATATGCCTATGTAACATGCAGAAATTTAGTACTGCTTTAAGATACTGTGTTTCGGGAAACAAACTAGTCGGGTAATCTCATGAGCCACTGTACTAGAGTCGAATATGAATAATTCTTACTCAAAGAGGCCAGAAAATATGTTCAAATTGAAAGAAGTTCAAAATAATGAAAGTTACCGTAATTACTTGAATCTAACCTGCACCTTTTTTCCGGTTAAGCGAGTTTATAAATCGCATGCGCGTTAGAATCGAGTACAAAAAAAAATGAATATGGTCATTCTATTGCCAAAGGCACTTCCGAAATGGCCGCCCCCTAGGTGCGTCGGCATGGCGCGTCGGCCATTTCTGCCTATGTGTTTTCCATGTGCGGCACTTCGTACGTGTGCTGAGAAGTTTGTCATCTTGTAGTACATTAGCATCGACGGCATGGTAGGGCCGACTCCAAAAACTCGACGAGTGTACCACAATGCTACTTTTAAAAGAAAAGTCATCGCGTGTGCCGAAACGGACAGAAATCGGGCCGCATCGCGGTCGTTCGGAGTTCCCGAAACGTGCGTGCGGGACTGGCGGAAACAAAAGCAGGATATTGTCGACAGCAAAGATTCACGCAAAAGCTTCAGTGGACCACAGCAGGGTCGGTTTCCCCAAATTGAAGAGCTGCTCGGCGAGTATGTGATTAAGCAGTGAGCGGCACAGCAGCCCGCGACGACAGAACTGCTCAAGTGCAGGCTATGCAGTTAGCCTTAGAAAAAGGGCTAATGCAGGGCCAGTTTAAAGCGAGCAGGTGCTGGCTAACTAACTTTATGAAGAGGAAAGGCTTTTCCCTCCGAAGGCAAACGGGCATATGCCGGAAGTTGCCGGAGAAGTACGAAGAAAAGCTTCAGAGTCTTCAGAGGTTCCTCCTAAACTTGCGGCACAACAACGGCTACCTGCTTGGGCAAATCGGGAATGCCGATCAGACGCCTCTTTACTTCGACATGCCTGGCACCACAACCGTCGAGGAGAAGGGGGCGAAGCAAGTTCATGTGCTGACATCGGGCCACAGTAAAACTAGAGTGACAGCAATGCTTCGTTGCACGTCAGATAGGCACAAGCTTTCCCCGTACCTCATATTTAAACGGAAGACGCTCTCAAAAGGAGTCGTTTTCCCGAGTGGTGTGATCAAGCGGGCCAACGAGAAAAATGGGTGCACGTTGCAATCGATGTCTTAGTTTTTTTTTTTGTCGTGGAAACCAGGTGCGCGTTACAATTGAGGGTGCGGTAGAATCGAGTAAGTACGGTAAATGAGCGGAGGGCTCACCATGCAGTGGTGCATGTGCATGAGGAAGTTTTATTCACAAATTACAGGACATCCGTCAATAATTAAAGTAATGAATACATTGTCTGTACACGCTGGCCTTGCAACGAGTCAACCAGTTTTGCGTGCAGTTTGCAAAGCATTTGTACTTCGGCTTCAGTATTCTCCTGGCAAAAGAAGTTGCGTGCGGCAATGCCCAGTGCTGACACTCTTCGAAGACCACAACTGTGTTTCCACTGTTACGATCTGCGCTGCAGCCGGAGCGTGGCCAGCACATGATGAGAAAGGAGGAGCGTCTCCACCTGGAGAAAAGCAGATCGGCATTCGAGAGAGAAACACTCCGCGGCAGCTTTTTTTTTGTTGCTCTCTTCATGCGGGGTGTTGAAAGGAGAAGGGTCTCTACATAGCAGGAACGAAAAACAGGAAAGCGTGACACCGGCGCGTTGCAGATCGGCATGAGAGAGAGCCAACTCTCTGTGACAGCTTTTTTTCCCTCTTTCTCGTCGTGCGCGGTGTTAAGAGAAGGGTCTCTACGTGGCAGGGACGAAAAAAGCCGAAGCGTGGCACAGGAATGTTGCAGATTGGCATTTAACAAACATTCCACCGCAGTCTTTTTTTTCCTTTTCTTCATTTTTTTTCTTCAAGCACAGTAATGAGGTGTCTGAAGTGCCACCGCAGGATTGGGCAGGTGCTGAGAGCATTTTCGGAGCGCATTTTCGGAGCGCAGTATAGCTTTGATAGGACCACAGTGTCAGTTCGAATTAAGTGTGTTGGAATTAATGAGATTCGACTGTATTTACTATAGTCTGTGAAGTCCAAGTGAACTGTCCTAAGCTAGCAGACGATGTAGGCGGCATCGTGTGTTTGATGGGCAGTGACTAGCAATAGCCTGCTTAAAACAGACATTCAGTAATTTTGTTCATTTATCACCCTATTTCGTGTCCGCTGCGGCTCTCTCTACTGTGATGTCCCCGCAAACACGGACTGAACCCCGCTCCTTTCAAAATGTGTACGCTCGTTTCTCAAACCCACGCATAAAAAGCATTCCGGAGTGAAGTACCAGAAGGATTATCTCTACTATTGTCACGGGCTCCCCCACGTAAACATGAGGACTGGGCGGCGCCTTGTTGTCTACAGACCGTGTGACAGCGTACGGTGGAGATAATCGGCGCGCTCCCTTCAGATCTGTGGCATGGGGGAGCGGCAGAGCACCTTTTGTTGGTTCGGGGAATGCGACCTTTGCGGCAAGCGCCTTTGCCGGGCCCAGTATGCCTTTCCGTCGAACTCCGTGGCTCCAGGGCTTATTACTGCATTCTGCGTGGATGGCCGCCCGCGGCGGTGAACGACGAAGAAACGGCGGCTACGGAGAATTTGGCGGGAGACACCGAGCTGCATGAAAACGTTGAGACTTGGTCTAGACATCGGCTCACCAAGTACCGGAAGCATCGGGGCCATTGTTCGCCTGTAATTAAGGTGTCTTCGGACGGCTCGCCCATCACTCTCCCTGAGACTTGAGTTTGTACATCGTTACTTGCTCGGCTTTGTTTGTGAGAGGGTTTTCGACTGGTGTAGGCCGCGGGGGCGGCCGCCGAAGAGGATACACTCGGACTGAGAAGAAAAGATATGCCGCGTGGAGTGGCGGACTGGTTTGGTGCCCCGGTAGGGCGGAGTCGGGTCCTACAAAAAGGTGACTACGAGACGAGCTTGAGAGTCCGAGATTCGATGTGAAGAGTCGGAGAGAGACGGAGCGTTAAGATTGAGATGGTAGACAGACGGAATGGAAAAGGAAGATAACGGTGCGAAGAGATAGCAATGAGAATCGGTGAGATTATGACTGAGGTGGAGATGATATGATGAGGAATGAAAGTTAGAGATGAGAAACGAGGAAGCGAGTGATTGCGGGACGTTATGAAAGAAGATCAAGATGGAAATCGCCGAGAGAGACAACGAAGACGATGAAGACTGACAAGACGGACCATTCGTGAGACGAACTTTATGCACCCTATTTAGATTAGCTTTGCGGGAAGGGAGGTGGCCTGTTGAGACATTGCGTGGTTTTATTCATTGATAACTTTATCATTTGTGTCGTCGTGTGTTTATTCTGTATTATTCTGTATTCTGTCACCGTTACTTAACTTATGTATCCTGTTTTGCGTGTCGCGAGTATTTGCTGATGTGTTACAATTTCGTGTAACAGAGATGTCGTTTACGGACAGTATGTGTGTATGCCATTTGCACTTGCTATTAAACTAAATGAATCCGTAAAGAGAAACAGGTCGTAGCGACTCTTACTTCCCGGCCCCAGCACGAATTCTTGTATGTAGAAAGTGATTGAGACACGTAGTCAAGAGGGAACCAGATAGAAGAAGGGTTGATTGTTCTTCCCTCTCTTTGGCGATCGGTGGCGTAGCGGGGGACGTCTCAAGTGGTGGCAGCGGTGGGATTCCTGCTGGGGCAACGGTGCGACATTTCACCCTCGTACTAGGGAAGGAGAGGCGACAAAATGAACGAGCAGGCTACCAAGAGTACCGACAGAGACGACCCAATAGAGATGAGCGCGTTAATGTTAGCAGAAATGGTTCCGTCGTTTACGGGAGGTGATACGGGTCCGGATATTGAGGTCTTCTTGAAAATTTTGGAGCAGGTTGGTCGCTTAGGTGGATGGCGCGATAATGAGCTGGTCTGCATAGCATGATGCAAGATGGTAGGCGCGGCGCACGATTTCGCGTCGTAGGATGATGGCGTCGCTGCGGCTTCAACTTTTTCTGAATTCAAATATTTGGTCCTCAAGAGGTTCGATACGGAGCCCCTTATCTTCAAAATGGAAAGGTTTTTAAACGCGAGGCAGAAGGCAGATGAGGAGGTGCGGTCATTTGCGAGTCGCTTGCGCATGCTCGGGACCGCCACCCTGGCAAGCTCCGATAGTCAGGATCCGGTGAAAGCTTCACTGCGCCGCAAAATTCTAGACGAACAATTGCTCTCGCAATTTTTATTAGGCCTGAGAGATCCGGTCCGCAGATTTGTGCTCTCTCGAGACCCAAAAACGTTTGACGAGGCCATTGCCATAGCGGTCAAGGAGGAACAGAATGAGAAAGTGTCGAGCAGCCATTCGGTACCCATTCGATACGTAGAAGAGGACACAGATGTTCATGAGATGCATAACCACCTTGACCGCCTTGAAAAACTTGTTGAGAGCTTGGCAGTACACAAAAAGGTGACACAAAATTGGCAGGAACTACCGAAGCAGCTCCCTTATCCCCGCGTCTGCTATAACTGTGGCAGGTTTGGTCACATTCGGCGAGAATTCCACCGGTACCGGCGACGAAATTGGAATCCGGTGGGTGACAGCCGCATTCACAAAGACAGGGAGATGATGAGAAAAATTAAATCCGAAAATCTAGACGCAACTCCTCCTCTTGACGGTGACGCACAGAGGTCAATCGCGACCGTAAATATTCGCGAGGAAACAAGCTCCGTAAAAACGAGTCGCGGTTACCGTGCGTGGATTTGGTTAGCGTAACTTCCGTGATCGAGGAGCATGTTCCGCCATTGGGTGAGTGTGTGTATGGGGGGAACGCTCCCACGCCGGTGCCACTGGGTGAAACAAATGCTGTCGATGTCGAGGTTGCTGGAGCGGATACGGACGGTTTAGCTGCGGTTTCTACCTGGAAGGTCCCACGAGA